CTTCCCAACCGTTTAATAAACGAAAAACCGTTAGTTTACAGTGGATTATTAAAGTCAGTAAGATAAATAGGTAGACTGTTTCACTGTCAAGTAAAATCCATTTCTTTTGGGCATATAAACAGCAAACAGTGAATTAGAAATAAATATAAATCTCTACTTTTTTGTATTTCCATAAATTATTTATTCATTAAATCTATCAAGATATAGGATGGAAATCAACTATTCTCTGTCACTTTAGTTACATTGGTATTTCTAAAAAAGACATTCCTGCATTCGGGAAAAAAACATGAACTGCATAATTTTTTATCAATAAGAAAAGAAACAAATTATCTTGCGTTTTATTAAACAGAACTGAACTAATAATGTTATTTTATTCGATAACTGATCATTAAGGAATAGAATCTATTTGGCTGACAAACAAACTTAACATTGAGGGCAACTGTAACAAATGTATTTGATGAAAGTCAGATTGATTGTAATGTAGTAGTGTGAAACGGTATGAAATTCATGGATTCTCTAAGTTTCGAGAACGATTTCGGAAGATTTGAGAATTGGACAATATGTAAATTTCAGAAATAACTGTTTAGTACTAATTAGTTTAGTTTCGGATGTGAAACAACTTAGCTTTATTATTATTTTCAAATAGTTCTTCAAACTTCAGAAAATTAATGTTATAAAACAAATTATAAAATAAATTATAAAAACGGATGGATAGGTATGAATGATTCAAAGGGAATAGTTATACTCATATGGCCGTCTCATTTAAACAACATAAAGTGAAATAAAAAGTACTCTAATGTAGAACTTCCTGTCCTATAACTAATGATCAATAAACAAAAAACAATATCAATTAAGAAATTAGTTGACAGAGATAAAAATGGAAGACAATGCTACAGAGTACAAGATTCAATAGCAATTAAGAGGGTTAGAGATAATTGTGAAAAATTATTTATTCTGATGATTAAAATCTTTGACATTCACAAGGCTCTTGAAATTTGTGTTGTGCTCACATCCCTTATATTACAGAGAACTATTAACTGGAAAATCTAGGGCAATTAAATGTAACAGAAGAATAGAAATAAGAATAAGCTCTGATTATTCGACAACCAGACAGCTAATTTACTAGTTTACAGCAGCTTCTCTTTGCTCAATGGATAGCCTTTATTGATAAGCATTCAAATTTTCTGCTACTAATTTACAGAAATGACAACTAAGGATTGCTTCAATATCGCATGTTTTTATTTGTTAGATATATTCAGACAGACAGATACAACTCAGATATATTCAGTAATGTATGTTACTTTTTGACAAATTGGGATTTCGAATAATTCATGGAAGCATGTTAAAACTGAAATGATAATTTTTCATCATTTCTAAATGTTCGTAAAATTTATTTCAACCTAATGGATTAGACTACGTAGGGTTACAATCAAACTATGTACTATAGTAAACAATGACGAGAAGACAATACAGACGAGGAATTAGTTCTTTTTAAATCCAATTTTAATTCGAATGGCTTAATTGTCAGATAGCTTACAAACAGAAGTCAAGTCTGAAAACATGTATACTTAGTTTGAATTTGTACATCGTTAACGTATCCACATTCTTCGAGTTATCTGTTCATTTGGATTAAATTCCAGTATTGGTCATTTATCATTTCATTAATTTCAATAAGATTTATCCCACAGTGACGAATCTGGAAAATCTTTAACAGACATTCTGTTCCCAACTAAGCAAAAGTAGCTCGACATTATGGCTTTTTGTTATTATCAATGTTTTTCGAGGTTTACAGACGAACTACTTACAAACTGTAATAGTAGTAATTCACCATAAAGCAACAATTTAAGTTGAGGATTGTGCAACATGTTAGTTTCTTTCTGATAGCTTAATTAACAATTCTTCATAATTTAATGTGATTTATCACGAGTGGGAATACAGCGAAAAAATTCTAGAAATATCTAATGCTCTTTTCACTCGAGAAAAGCTTAAAAAGTTAATAATAAAAGTAATAATGAAGTAATCGTAGCAACCTGAACTCATTTAATTCGACGATTGTTTTTATCTGCTGACAAAATGCTTACATTGAAATTTTGCATTTAAAAGGATATTTCTCGGAGTCTTGAACTTACCTGGTGATTCCAAGTCCCAACACTTAGTTCAGTTACACCTACCTTTGCATTCGTAATCAGGAACTTATTTTCTTTATGCTTAAGGTCTCAACTATGTCGTATTACTTTTACTCCGACACTAAATCCACTTTTGTAGTTTTTACTATCAAACTTTTAACATCGATTTCTCTGTAACTCATCTACGTGAACGTAAGAAATTGTTTTAGAGAACACTCCTGTTATTTAACACATATTCTTAAAGAGAATAGAAACAAAGATTGGTGCCTATTAATATGAATTCATTTCACTTCGCTGCTTACAATCTAAATTTTAAAACCAAAATTATCTTGGACATCTCCTTGATTCGGTAAACCAAGTGGACACATTGAAATCTCCACAGGTGATTATTAGACAATCGAATCCTCATCTTCTGAAGTTTTCCGAAGTTATAGCAACCAAACGTCTGAAACCAGATTTGTGTTGGAAAAGTAACCGTAAGTTTTCTTTAAAACGGAGAACTGGATCTCGAAACCTGGAGGCGAACACTGACAAATCTAATGCAAGAAGAAAAACCGTCCAGGGGTTCTTGGCTTTCAGTGGTTGTTTTTTGGTGTGCCGAAATAAACGTATTCAACACTTCGTGTTCACCTTAGAATTTAAAACCGTCAGGCGCTACTTAGTAACGATTGTCTGGACGAGCAAATTACGAAGTCTAGGGACATGTTGGATACTTACAGATTGCACGGCCACCACAGTTTAACTTTAGTGAGTCAGTGAAGTAAAAATTCAATCATCTCCACAACCGCCCATAATACCAATCGCATTCATTTTCAGGATAACCAATTCATTAATAACCTCACTTCAAAAACCAACACAATAGTATGGTATTTTCTAGGAGACGGAAATATAAAGAAGAGTACATACTACTTGGTAATTGAATGGTGAAAGACGTGAAGAAAAATGTAGATTTTTCTAAACTTTCATGTATTATCCACAAGAAAGATCAAAAGAATATCTAACTTTAAAATAATATTTGAAGTTCTTAATCTAACAGAATAATCCGTACTATGAGGGCTAAAAAGCTTTGGAAATTTTCATGACTCACTAACATAATACAATATAACGGTTTTATTTTTATAAAAATTACTTATCAAGCTAACCAAATCAGATGTTAGATAATGTATTTATTGGGGGTAACAAGAACTTAACAGTTAGTGCAAATAACACGAAAATGTGGGATGTGTTAACTACCATGACGAAATCAATTAAGTAGTGAGTGAAGGAATTTAACTGTAATGCCCAACTATAACCTGTACCTTGACTAAAATCTGGTTTCACTCGAATGATATTGCAGAAATTCAGTCAGTTACAACGTAGAACTTCGTACGTAAGTACATCCGTCCATGTTGCCATACCATATTAGAACAGAGACTAATTTGGAGAAACAGAATGCCTTATTTTCCTTAGTTATCTGGTAAGAACATGGTAAGCACTAAGATAGTAAGCGTAAAGTGGTACCCAAGTTGATTTACAGAAAACAACTTACATTTGGAAAACTGGTCATGCAAAAACATACATACGTAGATCTTAAAACTGATGCATCCACTATGAAAACATATCAAACAACACGAAATGTTATCAGATATCGTTAGTTAGAAGAAAGTGTCTTTAAAAACGAAATCCAAGGAAATAACTTAGTAATTGACAGATTTAACAGGAAGTAATCTAAATAGATGAGCTAATCAGACTTCTCCTTTTGTTTAGAATAATAACACCTAAAACGATCATTACAGATGGTATGGTTCTTTCATGCACAGTATATGAACCATGATATTCAACTTTTAAAAAAACGTAGATAAACTAAGCAATAACTACTTCAAAAGAGAACTTTCAATCAATATTCTCTTGACATTAATATTTTTTTGAGTAAATTGAATTCAATTTAGCATTATATATATATATATATATATATATATATATATATATATATATATATATATATATATATATATAATGGATATATTTGGGTCAATGAAACTGAACACATTAGAAATTTTCGAAATGTTGCTTATCTAAACAAAATTTAATAGAGCTGACATGGTATTCCGAAATCTCCATAATAGTTAAAATTATTAACCAAGAATGTGTATTTTATTAACATTGCAAAATCTTGAATATTGTAAAAACAGTACGCTGTATTTTCAGTTCATTCATTTTCCAATCTTACTCAATAGTCATATACTTGATCACGCAAGTACCTCCAAAACAATTTGAATAGCAACTTTCCACTTCTGAAACAGATGGGGTGTTACAAGCCGGACAAACGCATATACCACAATACTGCGGCTCTGACTCATCATCCAACTACTGAGTTTATAAAGTACATAAAAAGCAATGATTCACAAAACATTTTTGTTTTCAACCAGTGGGTTACTGGGGTATAATCCACTCAGTTGGAACAGACGCATAGTATTTCGAGCATTCACACAATGACTCACATGATAGTACTAGAACCAACTTTTAGCGAGCTGCCACCTCAGCGATCAGTAATTATTTGAGAGTAAATCAATAATAAACCCTTTTAACTTCTGTGAGGTACTATGAACCCGTGATTATTTTTGGTGACCAGAGAATCATCACAGTAACTAAGTAGCAAGCTACTGAATCCGAAATCCAACGTGCACAAAGCCTATAATTGCAGTGATGAGGTACAGTTGGACTCAAAACGCTTTACAGAAACACATGCCTTCAGTATCTCAATTCATTATCGATACTCGTCTTCTTAGAATTTTCCAAACACCACTAGAATACAATTTCCTTTCTTGTACTCACGTGTTAAACCAAAGTATTTTTAAAGTTCAAAACTAATTATGATTTATGTTTCATTGAAGACAACGCAGCAAAATTTACACTCAAATAAACTGGAGCATCATAATACTTAACCAGGGCTGTAAGTTGAACAGAATAAGAACTTTGTCAGCAGAGCGTACAACGTTCCGATTTGCAATAACTTAGTTGTGGGAGCCTTCAATAAGAAGCTTGATATGGTATTATCTGCAAATTTATATAACAGGTGGTTAGAAGCCAACTATCAAATTGTCCGTGCTAAACGAAATTAGTCATTTGCTAAAAATATTATTAAATAATAAATATTTGAAAGGTGAAAATGAGCATAAACTTTTCTCATAATCCATATTCGACAAATTCCAAAATCGAAAAAGATGAATAAGCGGATTCATTCATCAGGAAATGCTTTACAATACAATGCTTTACAACGAATTTCACAGATCTACATGTAAATTACAGAAAGATGAAGAAAACTAGAGATATTTGCATCATTTTTATGTGCTAACAAGTCAGTGTGAATTAACAATTCCATAGTATTGTGGGTAACTGTGGATGAAATTATAAGTGCAATCAAAGTGAACAAAACCTCTATCAGAAAATTTCGACAAAATTAAACCAGATTAGATTTAAAAGAGGTCATACCAAGTATAAATGACAAGGGCATTGCGAGTTCATTTTGAAGAATAAAAGCGGATAGGAAATAAGACAGAAACTACTGATTAGTCGGTCGCATTATCCTTTTGATTGCTGCTCCAGTTCCAATCGCGCTCGTTTTTTGTACATCAGCTGGAACTGGTTTGTTGAACTTTCCATCATCTACAACTCCGAGGGGAGCCATTTTTGTATTGGGATCATTTGAATTCGAGGACGTTTTTTCGGGCTTTTTTAAAGATGGGTTGAGACGTTCTATCATATTTACTGCGTATCGTAATCTTTCCGCTAAGTCCTTACTTAAACCGAATCCCCGTAGATGTTTGAAGCGGTATGTTCTGAAGTCCCTGTTGGCGTTAATATAAGTTACAGCACGCATCAAAGGACATAAAATTATTTTTGCATGATCATCAAAGAAGTTTATCTGAAAGACAAAGTGTTCATAATAAAATAACATTAGCATTAAGAAGTAAACATGCATTTGAAAATTATGAAGACACCAAACAATAGAAAACTGCATAACATAACCTGTTTCACAATGCATACGACTAATTGGTGCTAAATACAGTTTGATAAAATATGTTTAAAACGGGTAGATGAAGTGGTTTGTAGTCTGTTCTCTGTTGACTGTGTTGAGAAATTCGATTCAAAAAGGCTACGCGATTTTTATATCACCAAACATCGAGACTTTAACTTCTCTATCGAATTTCATTCTCAATGACTGATATACGGATCATTTAAACAACTGAGCAAATTTCTGCTAAGATCATCAATAACAGTAGTGACTTATGAACTATACTTGCCGAAAGCTACTTTTTAGTTGATGACTAGTATACGGAGAAGTTCAGAATCAATCAAATTAGGACTGAAAATTAATTTGAAATATTCGGTTCAAGTGTAATGCAGCTGTGTTCTATCTACTTCAGTTTGGGCATCCAAATATTACGATCCATGATGAAAAGAAAATGACTCAGGGTCGAGTAAGTAGACGTGTACTTTATAAACTGATGACATTCGAAGGATGTTATGTTTTAAGATCAATTTATGAATTATTTCTGCCTACAAATTCATACATTGTGTATAATTATTCACCGTTTGAATGATATGTACGTACATCGGTTCAAGTTAATACACAACATTAGCAAGAAGGTAGAATTGTCAAACCGGATCCCAGTGTAGTAGAGGTAGTAACAGTATCAGCGGTAATCAAGAAATTAGGCATCAGAGATATTCGAAAAATACAAATCAGTGAAACAAAAAATTCATGAGAAATCCAGACACTCATAATTCGGAGGAAGACAAAAAATGGATACATCTGCACCATTGCAGATACCCCAAACATGCTTGAATTGTTGCGCAAGGTGGTCAGAGGACTATCAGCGTCTTCATTGAACAGGACTATACCATCTGCATATTCTAAGTCAACAAGTGAATCTCCTGGTAGAAGTACAACCCTTGAAAAGTCAGACTATGAAGGTTATCCCTGTCAATTAGACCATGCTTCCCCCTTCACTTTAAATTTCTCGTAGCTATTTTGAACTCACTGAGTCTTGGCGGATTTACATCAATTTGTCATTCAGATTGATTAGAGATGGTGGGTAACCGAAGTGTAGCTGAAGGTCAGTTGAACTACCTCCTAAAGTGTTCTGCCCATCGATCCAATCTCCTAGATTGACAATGAATAACAGTCACGATTTTTTCCGAGAGTCTCACTTAACAGCCGGATTCATAATACCCATTTCCTTGATGTCTGAATAGTTGTCTACTATTACCTATTGTTGCTGTCTTTTCCATCGCTTGCTTTCGCTGTCCACCACTGTTCACGATCATTGCGTAGGCTTTTTATTAGTCTGTGCTTAAACTTCCTCCGGTTCATGTCGTGTTCAGAGCCAGACAAGACGAGTTTCCGAGCGTAGATGCCAGTGAAATCCATTGCTCCTCCTAAACCCTTCGGTCTAACCTACCAGCAGATATCACTGCTGTTTCCACAACTTTCGGAATATTTTTCCAAGATGCCTCGGGGTGGGCACCACTTATATGGTTATGTTTTTCTAGTTGCTTTTGAAATATACTCTTGGTTTTCTGTCGTTAAGTAGAACTCTAAGGGAGTCTTCGTGCTGTGGCTGTTGGGTGCAGCGTCGAGTCGATTTTGGGGGTTTCATGTCGAAATATGTTTTTCTCTATGCATAAAGTTGGTATTTGTCAGAAATAGGCAATTATCTGAGCATATCCACAGCAGACGACTGTTGTTATTGGTTCAATGAGCAGCGACACTACAAGAGCCACCTGTGTGCCTTTCCGTTTCACTTAGTCTACCTACTTTAGCATTAAAGTCACCAGCCACTATTATTACGTCAGACCGCTTGACGTCTTAAAAGAGGTTGAAAAGCTTCCTATAAAATGCATCTTTCATCTCATCTGAGCTGCGACCAGTGGGAGTGTGGGCAGAGACAACGAAGAGGCAACAGCGAGTGTCCCTATCTTTCCAAGTCCTTACTGCCGCGTTTAATCGGACAGCGCATGAGCGATTATCTACTGGGATCCAATCCAAGAGGGCTATTTCTGCTTTAGAACTCAATGCTATACCTATACCAATGAGGCTAAGGGAAGAAGCAGTGCGGCTTCCAGATACACGAAGCACAAATTGCAATGGTTCTTTAGTTTTAGAAGCTAAAGTCAAATGAATTACTGTACTCGGATCCTCTATGCGCGTTTCAGAGACGCAGCATACATCGATGACGAGAGACTCTAGATTCCTTGCTAAGGAAGCCTGTTGTCCTACTTGGCTCAAGGTCCGAACATTAAATGCTCCAACATGTAGTTTAGAGCACGGTTTCAGGAGACCAGGAATAGTGTTTTGTGTACTCGAATCGCTTTTGTCACTTTCCGGTTGCCCATACTGTGGAACGGTGTTTCTTGAGGAATCTGAAAAAGAAGTTGAGTTAGCGTTCATCTTGGCGACCTTGGGGCGCGACGTCAGAGCCCAAGGGAAAACTACTCGAGGCCGGTAGCGCATGGACTTTTTATGGGACGTTTTTCACGTGTTAGCTTCGCTCTTCGATAGGCCTGATCTCTAGAGACGGAAATCCGTGGGTAAGGTGAGGTGCGGTATTTTTAGGGTCGACCTTTTCTAATCCCATCCGTTGTGAGAAGACAGCATCTCTGGAAATGCTGCTTGTCCGAGGGAAACGCCTTACTGCTGTCACATCTCTCTACAGTCATCAGTACGATTTTACCCCCAGTCCTTAAGGTGCTGCTTCTAGTTTCATTGTTCTCCAACCGACTTATCTGGCATAGTAGGACCTAAAAGAACATATGTTGCAGCTAATATGGCTCGGTCAGCAGTATGGCCGCCCTTGCTGGTTCTAGTCTTTCTGTTCTCTAACAAACCTGTCTGACATGGTAGGACCTACAGGAATTCGCTCAAGCCTGTATAGCTCGGTCGAGTCATTACGACATACAAGCCCAACCACTTTAGTGTGGCAGCCAAGATTAGGCTTTATTCATTTTATTTACTATATTCCGGTAAGTTTACTACAAAAAATAGGACTTAGTATCTCACAGAAAACCACTCCTGAGCCACTCTCTTTTCAAATCCTACTTTCAAAGCGTACTGTTCCTTACTATCACTGTTACTGTGGTAACAATTACTTTCGGTATGCATATTATTACGCTTCTTACGTCATGCTAATAGTGTATGGTAACTTGGGTTAGGACATTTATTCAAAGTTGTACGTTGATGAATAATTAACTAATTGACTACTCTTCTATACAAAAACATGTATGACTTGATGCAACATCTAACTCAAAACAGGTGATTTGAAATAATAACAATGTAACGAATTATGTAAAAGCGTTAGGGTGTTCGCCCTACTGAGAGGAATAACTAGTATAATTTCGTGTTTACCAAATATTCGTGAACAGAAAATATTTAAACTCACTTGCAGAGTTCCATTGCTTAAATGTAGTACAATAGCTGAGCGTGTTCTGAACCATCGATGAAGAAACGGTAGGCGAGTCATGGCATCAGTGTCCGGTCGCGTAATATTCTCACCGGCCTGTGGTAATTTGGAAATATACCAGAATGAAACTAAATGATTAACTAATCCAAACCAACAATTACGTACTATGTGAACCGATTGTCAGGACTGAAGTGTTTCAACACATGTGGTCTGAAAAATGATGAATTTACACGTTTCCTTTTTTTGCACAGAAAATAAGATAAAACTAATTCCTTTGGCAACTAACAAGCAACAACCTCAAATTCTCTTTTAACTAAGGAGTGGGGTAAATTTATGGTACACTTTACTTGGGGTGTATGACAGAAACGAGTTAGTAAAACAGGTACGAACGGGACATTTATGACATTCAATAAGATATTTTATCAAAAATTAATTATAAAGTAGAAATTTTGTAGATTAGATATGAAGTTACACGAACATTGAGATTTTTGAGAAAGCAAATGGTCAATGTTTTCTTAAAAACCTGTATCGAACGAAATATTTTGACGAACCAATTATTTTAAGCATCTTATTGTGAAAGAACAAAAACGTGGTCATTTGGTACGTTATAAAGAATGGTTAAACTTGAATTTCTCACTTTTTGTATTGTAAGGCTATACAACCATTACCCTATAACTCTAAATAATAACCATCAAGTGAATGTCCTACTCCTGAAGTTGGCATCTTAGGTTTAAGCGAATTAGGTATCTAATTCATTATAAGCTTATCTAAGCATCTGTACACCTTATAAATAGACTGAGAAAAGCTAAAGGGAGGAGGATGGGACTATTATGTCAGTTATTCCATCAGTCTTAACACAGAACCCGCTACGAATATCCTCTCTTCTCAATAGCCATATCTCACATCCGTAAAGTAGAACAAGCCTAACTTTTGCACAATAAATTCGTCCTTTGGTTGATAGACAGATATCTTACCTATGCCACAAGTGGTACGAGTTGGAAAAAGCCAATCAAGCCCTCTGTCCGTGTCTAGATTCAATCAAACAATAGACCATCAGGACTAATGATACTCCCAAGATAAGTGGAGAGGGCGACACACTCAACTACTTCACTACCAACATGCAAACCTATCGTGAAGCAACATTCTGCATTTCGAGTGGGAGAGTTGCGCCACAAACAATTTTGCATTGTTGCTTGAGGTGGTCAGAGGACTCTGCGTTCTGTCAGCCTTTTCAACAAACCTAACTATGCCATTTTCATATTGAGTCAACAAGTGAATTTCTTGGTAACGTCAACTACCGAAAGGTCACGTAGAAAGTGTCGTCCCTAGAGGCATGTCAATGACAAGGTTAAATAGGAATGAAGAAAGTGGATAACCGTGACGAACACCATTCAAAGTTATCACTTCTGGCACCAGTTCGCAATGAGCTCTGACCAGACCAGTAGTGTTCGAGTAGAGATCTGGTACAAGATTAATGTACTTTCTTGATGCACCCTTCAATGGCAGACGCTGCCACAGAACCTGATGATCAAAAGAGTCGAGATCCACCCTGAGGTCAAGGACATTGGAAAGTGTGCCTACGTTTGAGCACATTATGTACGTGTAGTTAGTTTATAACGGTAATTTTCAAGAAAAAAAATATGGAACAAAGTGAAATGAGTAAAGATTAAAAGATACGTATTCCTCGCTCCGGAAATTTTTAATCCAACGGTTCAAAACATTACTTAAATCTATTCAAAATTATATAAGCGGTACGAGAAAAGATATATTGGAAAAGAACAACAAAACAGACACTCCTAATGTAGTTTTCAAGACAAACGCTTCACCAATCACTTAGAAACTGTATGTCATTCTTAAATGTATTTTATGGCAAATTACAGTGAATAGCAGTAAGTAGAAAATTCTAACTAGTTATATCTGAAATGGAATTAGCTTATGATTGAAGCGACGGGCTAGGCATTTTGACACTTCTGATCCATGATTTACTAAATCAATGAGTGAACTATTGATTACGAACCAGCGCCACAACTTTCTGAAATCCTGAAAAGTCTTACATAAAACTTAGTAGAAGTATTTAGACCACCAATTCAACTTACGAACTCATTCTACTACGAGACTCGCTTGCCGGTAACAGTCTTATTTGGTAAATATGCTGACCGTCCTAAGCAACAATGCAAGTATGATCGTAATGCGATCCTCCTACTCTAAATACAAAATGTTGCTTCAAGATTGGGTTGCGCTGGAGTTGTTATTCAATCAAAACTGTCTTTGAAGCATTGCTCGTAAATTCTGGGACAATCGAGTAAGCAATGCTGTTGTTAGGAAACCAGTACTAGGTAAGGATGGCAGATTCATTGATGAAGTAGTGAATGTTAATCAATTGGGGTGGTAAGGACATGTGTTACGTATGCCTAACCGCCGACTGCCTCGAAAAGCTATGTTTTGTGATGTAGGAGTAGGCTGGAAGAAAGCTAGGGACGACCTAACGAAAAACATGGCACAAATCCAAGAAGTCATTGATCACTGAACTGAGCCGTGTCAGTAGGTGTAAACTATGTCGCTGGGGTCCGTGAGACGATAGTAACCGATGGTTACAAACCTTGAACGACACAGCTCAGATGGATCCACTCTTTGTGTTTTCTCAAATTCTAATCTTCTGAATTCTTCGTCACCTCTTTCTTTTCATAAATCTATTTCACTGGATGATACTTCTCGAATATCTTCGAACCCTAATCTTCTCCATTACGGCTAATACTTAACTATCTCTACTACTGTGGGGTTTGGACTGACAATTGAGTCTTTGTACAAATGTGATATGGCAACCTGAACTTATGGATACACGTACGAAGTTCTACTTTGTAACTGACCGACATTAATGTGAATGTGACTATTAGGACTACTACTGAACCATAACACTATGAAGGTAAAAGCTTGCAGTAGACAGTGAATTATTTAGATAGTATAGTATGTCCTACGATGTTGTGAATAATTTCTTCCGTAACTGCTTGCTCGATAACTAGAAGGAATACTTATATCCAACTAAAAAGTTTTTTATACAAATGGATACAAGCAACAATATGAGGACATCAAAAGCTTACCTTAAGGAGATTCTGGTGCATATATGCCTTGAAGCATGTGAGGAGTGTGACCTTTTTCGACAGATACTCAGGATGGTTTGATAGAGTAAACAAACGCTCAGTCCCATGTTCGTCAATGTATTGGAGATTCTGTTCATTGGTTGTTAAAAGAAGTCTTGTCACATCATTGAATACGACACCATATGAGTTATCACACAACTGATATCCCAAACCATATTTATCTGAATAATCTACCCACTTGCTGACCCAGTAAATTGGACAGGCTGCTGGAGATTCGCTTTCTTCCATTGCTTTTGGTGAAGAATCTTCGAACTCTTTGGGTTTATCTAACAAAGCAGTCAGCTGAAATGCATTAGGTAAATGACAATGCATGACCTACTTTTTCATAAAGTTTCCCAAGCCAGCAGTCGTCCGGCTGAACGGCTTTATCAACTGTAGCACCCCCGGCATTACCAAGGGCACCACCACCACTAGTAATAGGAACATCCTCAACTGGGTTGATGTCCGACAACGGGCGACGTCCGGGTTGTGCTCGCTGCATGGTATCAAATCTTGGGCATGTTGAAAGACAGCTAACAGGAAGGCCACTAGGTGTAAAATCTTTGAAGAAGTCATGGTCGAGTACATTGAACATGTTAGGTCTTCTTTCTGGATTAGCATGCAAAAGTGAGCGAATGAGCATTGAAGCATTTGTTGAAACACGAATCGGAATGCGGTACTCATTTTGTTTGATGCGTGCATACGTTTCCTCCAGTTTGGTAGTTTCAAACGGAGGACTTCCAACTAGCAGAGTATAACTGAAAAATTAAAATGAAGGTATAAACTACATACAGTATACAACCGAGAGACCACGAGTCCACTTCGAAGCTGTGTCCTCCTTTACTCAGAATTTCAGGAGCAATATAGTTGGGAGTACCACATAGCGTTTTCTTCTTTTCACCCTCATGACTGATCCTTGAAGCAAGTCCAAAATCGCCTATCTTGACTTTTAAGTTGTCATCAAGGAAAAGGTTGGCCAGCTTAAGGTCTCTGTGCATGACCTTATTTTCATGAAGGTATTGACAGCCATGGACAATTTGTTTCATAAAGTACCTAGCCTCTGGTTCGGTGACGTACTTCCTTCGTTTGTGTAATTCTAAAAGCGACTGTTTTATTGAATTAGGCGAAACGATAATTCTACCCTGCGGTTACAAATTTCAAGCAATATGTAGATGAATTCACTATCCTCGAAATTCCCATAGAACCTCACAACATTTTCGTGTTTTAGAGAACGATGAATACTAATTTCTTGGCGCATTTTTTCCTTTTGGGATTCTTTGACTAAGGCTGACTTGTTAATAACTTTACCGGCGTATTTCTCGCCAGTTTTTTTATCAATGAGTTCGTAGCATTTTGCGAATCCTCCCTGAAAGAACAATGCTTAATAACCAATAAGTACCTTTCCTAAAAAGCGTCCACGGGTGAACTCTCGTTTTTTCGCAACGTCTACTATAACCTCAGGAGGATCCTTGGGCTTGGCTGCGCCGTTTGTAGCCATTTCAGACAACTCGACCGACAAAGTCAAAGTCACAATCCCGCCTTTGGTGAGTGTACTGAGTTTATGAGTAACACAACAAACACTATGTCCAACATTCACCAAACTTTGAACTCTCCATGCATAAATCGTTAACTTACGTCCCCTTAGGGTTGACTTTCGAACTGTGATGAAGTGATATAGTTACAGAAAATATATAATAACTCAGGGACAAGAAAGGATTAAATGATGGTTCAAACGGTATGTAAAACAAACAGAAGTTCAAATGATTCAATTAGTTGTTTAATGGAATAGAATAAGCTTTCATTTAACAGGTCCCTATATTTATTAAAGGTGGGTCGTCGATTCTTCGCAGAACAGTATACTCCGATGCCTTATACGCAGCTGAATAAGGTCTGTAACCTGAATTACTCATTTCCGTCGACACTTGAGGGCGATAGTTTTGTTAGCAAAAAGCCGAATAACATGACTATTGATGGTAAGACTAAAACTCAGATTGTAAAACGATAGTGTGTTTTTTGTGTGCAGTGTTACTAGAGTAAACTGTTGCTACTGCATACCACAGACATCTGACATGTTCCACAGAAGGAATTTCTATCGGAACTACAGCGCATGTTGATGCTAGAGCTATGCTCTAGTTTTGTATCTAGGTGACTATGTTACGACAATATATTCAAGCTTGACTAGAAAAATACTGAGTATATTTAATTTCACTGATAAATTCTAATTTGATTTCCTTCTTTCATAACGCATATCCACCTATGACAGTGAAATTTTCGGAAATTCAAGCAAGTGGCAAAGGTTTATGTGTATGCTCTACAGAACGATATGTATTTACTGATAAGTAAATCCCCGAAATAAGTATTTCTGTGAGTTTTTGATAGTGATGCAACTTCATTATTTGTCCAGTCTGCCTTAAGACCTAGTTGGCTCATGTTGGTTCTGTCGACGTCTCGGAGCCGCATACAGAGGATTCTACGAAATTTTACATTGCGGACCAATGTACTATATGACTGGTAGGATCGGGATTCAAGACAATATCAGCACCGACCAACCTCTTCACAGAAAAAAACCCCTTCCCAGTCGACTGCATCAACAAACAAACGAATGACATGATCCCCATGACCATAATACCGTCTCCGATTAGCAACAATCACAACAAAACTGCGTTTGTTTCCGAAAAGCGGTCTAGAATAGCGAGCTCTGAAAGTTATGTAACATTCTAGGAGAATCCTAAGGACTGCTACGCGTAAGAAAACATAAAGGTTTATCTCTTTCTCATCTTATTTTTCATTATCTACTACTTATTGCTTGTATGTTCAATTTTTATTGCATCGAAAACCAAAAAAATACGTTTCGTATGCTGATATATATGTGTAAAATTTTTTATTTCAAAAAACTTTCAGTGTGTTATTTTATCGCCGCTTCACATGCTCATATCTACCAGTTTTCTTCTCAAACGTTTTGTCATATGTATGTATGATGATTGTGTTGGTGGGTTTTGGTTCTCTGATCTGGATGTTTTGGTTGTGGAGCTTTCATTGTTCTTCTGAACAACATCATCAGCACAAACTTCAGATAGAAGTGAAGCATTCAAATTTCTCCACGTTTGACCTTTAGCTCGTTCTGCTAATCTCAATCTTGATTGGCTGCTGTTGACCTTAAACCTGTCGTTGATTGCACCTTTGTTTTGATTGTATCCCCCTTTTGATCTGTTTCTTGATCCTATGTCCCCTATGATTTTCCTGATTGGTTGATAAATTGGGTCATTGTCGATGTGTTTGTTGTTTGCTAATTGACACGAGTGCCAAGCTTCTAAAAATTCCCTAATGTGTTTTGTCCTCCCCCTACCCAGTATTTCCCCATTGTTCCAATCGAATTTGTGTCCATAATTGTCGGTGTGTATTAATATAAGCGAAGCGTTGTCGTGGCGTTCGACTGCTAATTGATGTTCACGTAAACGAAGCTGAAGAGGTCGTCCACTTTGTCCTATGTAGTGTTTTTCACAGTCTGAGCTCTTTATTTTGTAGATGATATTTGGTTTTCCTTCATTTGTCATTCTGTCCTTTGGTCTACATAGCATTGATTGAAGTGATTCTGTTGGTTTGGTTTCAATAGTCGTTCTGTATGCTCCGATATGCCTTTTATATATGGTAAGATGACCCATTTTCAAGAAATTCTTATTTATAAACCCCATAAGCCGTCTAGACTTGGAGATGATGGAAGAGGCAAGACTGACAAATCTTAAGCTTCCTTAGTAATGAATACCTAGATCATTCTCTAATATGAGTGTCTGGATCTCACATTATTGTAAGAAACGTAGTACTTCGTGGTGATGCCATCTAAAATGCCTGGTCCAAAATTTGTTGCGGATAAATGACAACTGCCAAGTTTTGCTCCGAGTCTGAGCAATATTTTCGTTAGAATCTCCAGACCTAGGGCTGGATACTACTTTGAGATCATCTGCCTTCCAAATTTCCAAGTTTTACATATTTCGTCCATGTACATGCGAAACAAAGTGGGTCCGATACACTTTTCTAGGTAGCTCTACTGATAAAATGAGTCGTTATTTTCTACTTTATTTGTTGGTGTCCATTTAAGGATGAGGAATCCCACAAATGCAATGGGTTACCAATTTTGAATGACTTCAGTTTGATAAGAGGCTTATTGTTTGGGACCTCATCAAAACCATTATCGCAGTCGAAAAATAGGACTGATATTAGTAGATCTCTCTCTTGTTTTTGAGTAATATCATCCAGTTAGTCCAGTGGGCATGCACACATGAGCTGGACCTCAAGAACTAATGCTGGATGGTCAGGATGAGGTTTTTATCAAGCAGATGTTGATTAACCACCACCTTTACTGCTTCCTTCACCACCGTTTATACTACTGAGGTCATGTTTATGGGTCCTTAATCTTGAACACTTTCTGTATCTCAGATTTAGTTTTCGGGATGATCTATGTAGTCTTCCGAGCATTAGGGTAACACGCTGTGAAGACAAATATGGTAAATAGTTTAGGAAGAATAACATATATACCGTTGCCCCCATTTTTCAGCATCTTAGCTGGGATGCCATCTGCTTCTATAATGTAAACGTGTTTCAGTATTCTCATTGCCTAAGAAATATTCTGTACACTGAAGTATATACCACTGATTTCAAAGGAACGGATTGGAGTCATCTGCGATTCATTTAGTGGGTTTCTTTTTACTGAGAAACAAACGAGTTCGCTAAATGGGTCTTCGTACACTTGATTGTCCTCAATAAATATACCCCAACCTGTCGCTTTAGGGCGTTTAAGTTTGTTTCTAAGGATTTCGATTAGTACAGAATGATCATTATTCAGTTCTACAGGACCTTTTTCCTGTGTGATGGTCTTTTTGTACGTATTTCCACTGTCTCTACAAATATTTCTGCCGTTTTAACCATGGAAAAGTCATGAAGATTATGTAATCGGGTGGCATTTCTTCACAGACCGTCTCGTATATGCTCTAGTATAAGTAAACCTATAGTTATTCTGGGTCTCCATTATCCTGGGTCTGCAATTTTATTGAAGACGGTTAATAAAAAGATGAAAACATAACGGAATCTGTCCTTTTATTACCGATTAAACGGGCATTGAAAAGATTCATATTAAAAATATGTAAAGTTTAGCTAAAGTAATCAGGACCATTTATTATAACCTTCAAGGGTGTGATATGAGTTTAAAGTTAAATAATGGTTGTCTGAATGCTTATGGGTCAAAGGGGCAGTTATTTAGAAGGGTTGTTAGCCCTTTGGAAGTGGTAAGAATAATACCTGCTCGAGACTGTAAGGGGAGAGCGAACTTATTTTCTGAAACCATGTAGGCCATATGCTTTTACAGAGGTACCACAAAAGGTTGGATCCTGAAACGTTTTTCACTTAGTTTACTGTGAGGTGAACAGCCGCTTCCGGTACAGTCTTCATGACATAGCTAGCAGCTTTGGTTATAGTTGTTTGGATTAGTGTCAGTGTGTGGAACGTCCGCAATATGTAACTGCCAGCTGATATAACCGTTTCTAACTTAGGAGGCCACTATTTTTACTGACTGGATTGGTAGGGCAGGATACAACTAGTTTTCGTTTTAAGTTATCGAAATTAAAAATGTGGATGTCTCAGTGCTAGCTGTACCCGTTATTATTATCAGACTTGAAACTTTGAGAGTCTAGGGTTACATCACATGATATCAGAAGAGTAGCCGCAAGAGCCATGGGGAAAATGGTATGAATTTCACCTATATTTTTTATTTTGAACCAACATCCCTTTAAGCGACGTTGACAAGGTGTTAAATCTGAAGTAACTTTTGTATTTTTACATGGGATTGTTGAGCTAATATTTTGCTCAAATAAATAAACTGTTAATCGTTGTTACAAAAACGAACTTTCACCAAGCGAGAGCGTGCTCAGTCGCCGGATTTTTTCCCAGGAGGATGGTTTGGCAACCGACATTTAGCATTCCACATGCTTAAGGGCAAGTACCCCTTAGATTTGTGATGTATTTGAGGTCAGGGAAATAATACTCAACTGAATTTTAAAAAGACTATCCTCTTCCTTACTTCATCAACCCTGAAATGCACTCAGCTTTAGTCATTTCCTCAGGGCTTGATCATTATTGCGGGCCAATATGTGCTACCGCGCAACTTAGTTATTTATTCTTCGTATTTAGCCTTCGTGGCAACTGATATTATAATCTGTATTGGATTAATTATGCAACACGTCGGTTCATTTACTGTTGATACGGGTTTCATACGGTCAGTTATGTTTTTCTGTAACAATGTCCATTCAGAGCAAACATGCGACCACTGACATCACTAGCAACCAACTTTCCTAGTTAATCAGTATTGGTTAAAATGCCTACTCCTACTGTATTACCCAATTCTTAAAGCCCCGATTCCGGGCTTACAACTCTCGAAGACAATGGGAAGTATGAAACTGCATTCAGCATAGACAGAGCCTGTTTCTTAAAGCGCAAACTAACTTCCCATGGCGTAAGAGAAGCTGTGAAGAATAAGTTAGATACATTTCTTGAGGAATGGACAATAAACCTGGTTCATTTGCCTACTTGGCCTGCTCACATTATATCACCTCTAAAAGCAGGTAGAAAAA